GTTTTTTTTTTTTTTTTTTTTTTTTTTGAGCTCTTAGCTTTTAAAAATTGCACCTCCGCTAAAAAATTCCTGGGTCTGCCGCTGGCTATCATCAACAACATAGCAATTGAATTGAACAGGGGTAGCTTCAGTGCACATTACATTGATGTTGGGCCCTCCAAACACTCCTTGTTGGTATTAGTTTCTGTTTTTAGTCAACTCCCGGGCCCAAAACCCTCAATCTTTTGATTATATCTAGGCATTTTATTGTTCAAAAGCTTGATGTGAACACTAGAACAACCAAATAATTTCTATGATGAGGGTAGATGTTCTCTCTAACAACATAATTTTTTTTAGCCTTTGTTTGTTACAAGCGATATTAAGAGAGAGGGATTCGAACAAAACTGCTTTAACAACTTGAGCATACGTATAAGTTAGATGTGCGATTAGGATCTTTTCATTCTTTGATAAAACAAGAAAAAAAGATAAACACCCACTACAATTAAAATTCTTTCTATATGCCATATATGGTAAGCTTTGTCACACTTGTACAAATCCAATTTCATGGAAATGGGGCTCTATGAACTTATTCTTGCTCCAAGCCTCCAACACATGTTATTGTCTACAATTCGACTACGTGTTTCCACAATGTTAACTCCAAACAACCTTACCACTCCATCATCTTGAACCCTCTCTTCAACTTCAACCCTACTAGCCATCTCTCCGAGCCCCCAACCTCGACGTTTCTTAGTCTACAGTCAATGAACATCTTCTTCTCCTCCCCTATCGATCTCTCAAACCTAACAACATCCCCTGCTTTCAACTTCTTCTCCTTCACAAAATGAGTCCACCCTCTCGTCAACACATAACTCTGACTGCTACTCCAATAACAATATCGAAACCTCCACACTTTCCCCTCACCATCCTCAAAATTCAACAGCACCCCTTTGCATAATTCCTCACTCAGATGCAATGGAAAATGCTTCTCTGCATGTTGTTTTGGTATGACCATGCGGTTTAATCTCCCTACATCGCTTGGCGTCGCCACTTTCTCAAAAAGCCACTCCCTCTGATGATCATAACCGTCCATCAAATTAACGTGACACTTAATTCTCTTCCTAGCAGCATCACCATCACCAGCACCAGCATTGAACAGCTTGAGCTTGTACATCTCAAGCTCATTGGTGTACGAGTGTTTTCGAAGCATGTCGACGATCTCGGCCTTGGAATGAGATTGCAAGAAAAGGGTTTCGTTGTCAGGATCCATGTAAGGCTTCACCTGGTTCTGGTTGAAGTTTGTGATGGTTTCGAGGCCTCGGAACCTTATTGAGGCAATGTCATAGGCCTTAGCAGCTTCTTCTTCTGCATTGAAGGTTCCCAGCCACACACGCTGGTGCTTCTCGTATATTTGAGCTCCCCATCTGCCATTTGGCTGCGGGACAACTCCCTTGTACCTAGAAGAAGGTAACTTGTTTGAATTTGCAGCCTCACTTGTGCTCTCATTCATCACATCCATTGATCTCAATAAACAAAGACTATATATATGAATTGAAAGGTTTTGTGGGTATTTTGATTCAGGAAGAAGAGGAGGGCGAGAATTCTTTCCTTTTTCGAGTCTTTATTTGGGATTGAAGATGGAGAAGACCAACTTTTTTGGTTCATGGAATATGGGATGTTATTATTATAGTTGGTGTGGGATGTATATGAAAAGTAGGACCCAACTGAGCAAGTTGATGGGTTCACATAGAATTTTACATTGTTTGATGCAAAGTTCATCCCCCCTGATCAAAAACCCATTGCTGTTATATATACCTTACCTGATCTGATATTATGGTCCACACTGCCAACAAGTTGCCTGCTTTTCACGTCTCCAGAATAATAATGCATTGAGTTTTTGTTTGAGACCTTGAAAAACCCTTTTTCCTTTTTTCTTTTCATTTCCCTTTCCCCCGCCCAATCTTATCTAACAATATCTTC